TTCTGTGGTAAAAGGACATCTGAAAGAAACAAAGTCTCAGAGGAATAATAAATAATTACAATTAATTTTACTGTCATTTTAGGTAAAGGGCAACATTATTAAAGTAGGCAAACACGACTTTTGATTCTTCGTTAACCATTTCAAGTTGAAGCTTATCTAAACAATATTTAATAATTTAGTTTGTACAGCAAAGCAAATAATACACTTCACTACTATGTAGATCAGCTACTTAACGCTGTTTAAAGAAATAATCAGTTTAAACTAAATCATACGAAACACATAAACGCGCTGTGTGGGGAAAAATGTACAGTTATTGAATGCTGAAGTGGGTGATATATACAGTTACCAATAGGCTTTAAAGTGTTAATGTACAACTCCAAAATGTAAGGGTTACACAGGGAAAGTCTTAATTATCTTTTCAACAAATCCCATTCATTTGTGTAATTCGAAAGTTCGTTACCATGCTCACAAAACCACGCCATTTCAGCTGACATATCCTTAATCAATCGAAGTAACACCACCATCTTCTACTCTCAAATATATACTTTAATATTATCATCTAACCTAAGACTTGATTTCCAAGAGATCCATTTTTTCATATTTTACGCTTAAAACTTTATATTTCTCAGCATGATTTGAGGTTTTCACGTTGGTGAACACAAAGATGGCTGTCTTCTGGTTTGCAACGCCATGTAGTCTGTCTCAATTATCTCCCTGATGATGGAGGCAGCAAGGACCTCTGAAACGTTGAACATGGCGCTAAAACTCAGAAGAAAGCCACATTCTATACTTATTATTTCCCAATGTATGCTCCGCCCAAAATTCCGCTTGTGTCCACACATACGCTTAGACAGGACGAGGAACTGCCCCTGTGAGTATAATATCAATCAATAAACTGCTTAAACATAACCCATCGGTTTACAAGAGTCTCAACGGATTCAACTATGACGTAACATTGACCAGGAATGATGTGACATCTGTTAGGTGATGGATGTCTATCCCTGAGGCAACAATGACAGATAGAAACTGATAATAACACAGTTTCAGACTGGAGAGTTCAGGCATGGTACATCTACACTATGAAACTGCGTGCAGGCAAACCTAATTTCTATGGTTATAAAGTATAATTGTGTGTTTTACATATGTTAGCACACCGTCGTAATAAAACCAACCAAAATGACAAAATAATACTTTATTTGAAGATTTCTGTCTTCTGGGTTATTGCGCTGTGTAGTCTGGTCGATGTTAACCAACGTTTCAGAGGTCATACTGCCTCCGTCATCAGGGCGACAAACATGTTTCGATCCATTAAAGAACCGTCATCAGGAAAGTGCTGTGTTAAAATTTCCTCTATGATCCTGTGTACTTTAGAAAGCTACAAAGTAAATGTACAACATCAAGAGTTTCGAGTTAAAATTTAATCAGGTATGGAAGAATTATATGCCACTTTAAAATCTCGATGCTTTATTTCTTGTTAATGTCTTTAAGGGCAAAATAAATTGTTATTTCCTTATTTAGCGTTTCACTTTTATACTAGTGTTTCCCTAGGTGGATTATTCGCTTTTATTTGTATTTCTTAATTTATTTTCTTTGTGTATAATATTGTTTCTATTTTGGATTAGCCTATATTTGGCTGTTGTATTTAATAATATACATATAATATGTTTAGTTAATTTGTTTGTGAAATATTTTTCATTATTATTGTATGTATGTATTACCAGTGTGTGCCTGTTATTGGCTTCTTGCTGTTGGCAAACACTTAAATGAATGGATTGAATTGAAAATATGATATTTCTATTTTAATATACACAAAACATTAAAATTGTTCGAATTAGAAACTTTAATTTTATCTGTAAACGTGTACAGTTTATTATAAAAGAACATTTTTCGAGACCTTTAACATTCAGTGTTACGTACCAAAATTCTTGATTGAAGAAAAGATTCATTCTCGGATTCAGATGAAGAAAATAATACGAAGATGACACTTATAGAATTTCATCAATTTTGTTTTAGATGGACGTGAAACTTAAATCATCCACCCCAAGGGAAAGCCACAAATTGAAAAGTTCAGGAACAGGGCACTGAGGATATCTTGACCTCAGGAAGTGGAATACAGGAGGATGGAATCAAGAATTGCGTAATAATATACACTTAGTAAATATTTTCCTCGTGGCAGGGCTTATGCCACTGTTGCAGAAAATAAATGATCACAGTGTTATAAATTAATAGACCTATCGCAGGCGGCAATCTGACACATAGCAAAATGAATGAGGCTGGGCGAATTGAAAGAGCGCAGATATGGTCATACCCGGAGTGCGCAGGATCAGCTATGGCCCAAACCGAACGTCACAAAATGGAAATGATCTTGCTTACCAACATCGGAAATCGAGTGGGACTTCCGGTCTCATAAAACACGTAAAGGTCATTTGACCCCGAAGCGAATTTTTTATTTTTGACCTAAAATCTAATGTAGCAAGGAACAAGAAAAATACACAAACATATGTGAAATATCAGGTTCTCAGAGCGGCGAGTATGAAGATAAACGTCTTCTATGGTATTTCGCGTGTAATCTGTAGAGAATTATCGACTCCTTTAAATATAAGTTACTTCTACTTACATTTTTATGGCGTTACTAAAATGCTTTTATATGTAACATTTGTCACTGAATTCAGAAGAAGTCGTAATTCAAGACAGTAAGTAACGTACTTGAAATTGAGACACTCGCCATTTTCTGGAAGCATCAAGAAAACAAAACTCGAAAAATAACAAACCCTTAGATCTTCAAAACACATTGCTTTGGTAATTACAACGCTGAAAATGTAGTTGGATAATATTAAAATGTTATCTTATATAAGAAATGTTCTGAAGACATGAGCAGTATTTTGCTAACTCATGAAAATGTCCACTGACGGGTTTCATAACGGTGGCATTAGAATTTAATTTTATAAGGAGTTACAAAAATTAGCTCACGTCTCATACAGCAAATCAAAAGCAGATATTATTTTGGTCTTCCGGAAAACGTATATCTTATTTATTACTGCACTTTCTAGTACGCTATGCCAAACCCACTTTCTTGGCAAATTTCATACTTTCGGCTTCTATGGAGAATTTATAGTTCTGATGCTCGGTAAAAAGGGTTTAGATCAAATGTAATTTGCATTGACTTAGTACCATCTTTTACAGCGAATATAAATTCTTGCCAGTAAGAAAACATTTTTTAAATCTAAGAGATGAAAACAAGTTTATGGATTACTTTATGTAGTTATGCAAATTGGAATATTTCAGGACATTTAACAGATATTCGAAGGCTTACTGAATTGCATTATGTTTTTTGAAACCGAAGCTCGTGTAATTAATATTTAATAATCAGTCCGTGTAAAAAACAAAACACAACACTTCGCCATTACAAAGGTCACCAGACTGATGCTATTTTAGAAAATAATAACTGTTTATAGTCTGTAAAATTCGAAAGCCGTCAATACAGAAAGTAGAGTTATTACATGTTACAGCAGGCGAGGCACATGGTTATCATTGGGCCTTGCAGAGTTAATACAACTAAATTCGAGTAACTATTTGGTGTATTCCGAAAACCATGTAACTTCATTTCTAGGCGGACTGAAAGTCATTTGTTCACACCGCACCGCTTCTTTAATCTCTCTCCCTCTAAAAGAAGCGACTCCATATTTGATATTTACGACAGAGAAGAAAATTATGTGAAGCGGAAAGATTGTTTTCTTAATACATAATTTAAAATTTTCTTTTGACTACTTTAGTATGTCGGTTTGTTGTCATTTTAAGAGATGACGTATGAAATATTAAATGTCTTAACATAAAGATACAAACAAATGTATACGACTTCTTTGTAGGTATATGACAGGAATTACAATGGATATATTAGAAAAAAGTTTAGCTAGTTGTTATTTATTTAATGTACAATTTAAAACGCAACGCGGTATAAAAATTAAATTAGAAGTAGGTCCATCTACGTGTAACAAACATTCCCAAACTCCTCCGCCACACTCGAGTCAAAGTCACGTCATCTGCGCAAAAGCTATGCAAGTGCGAACACGGTGTCTTCACGAGAAAAACGTGTATTCTCGAAAATTACTTCGCATCGAAACAGAATATATTCGCAAAGTCACGTAAGACAGTAAAAAAGTTCGGCTCCTGCCTTCGAAAAGCGTTATAATATGGGTCAGGTAATATAACATTAAACTTGAAACTTTCGAGAAAATAAAGTTACCATTCAAGTTGTAGGACTGTGTAAAGAAACGGAAAGCGAAAATAAGTTCTGGACAAGACGTCATCTGAGCAACATCAACAATGACAAGAGGAAAATTATCACTGGTGCCAACACTGACTAGGTGAAACACAAGAACAGGTAATGTCTGCTGCTCATTATGCAAATTTAACGTACGGTAATTCGAAGGTGAACAGACTAAATTTTATTAATATCTGTTCAACGTTACCATTCACACATAATTTACAGACGTACGGATCTAGATGTTCACTTCACAAACGTTCTGTTCACAAAGATAATCAGTCGTAAAGATATTACAGTGTCACTAAAGAATCCTTGTTTTAAACGGTCAACTTTTTTTGTTAGGTGACTAATGTGCTAAATATGCCGAGTGAGTTCAGGTCATTAAACGAATTTCAACTTATATTTAAATTAAACACGTCTACACTGAAGATGGAGGGAGAATGTTCCTCAGAAATAATAATAATAATAATAACTAAAAGCACTAAACAGTGTCACAGCCTAGAAGAAAAAACAAACTGAAATCTAAACTCTGTGAAAGCCACAAACCTCATGGCGCTAGTTTCGTCTGAAACAACAACAACGCAGTTTCCACACTAAAACTTACAAACCTTACGAAACTAGCAGGAGGTTTATAATTTTTTTAAAGCATCGTAAAACTATTACAGCATTGCCATGTTTGTAATGTGACCTTGAACATATAATCTCGGTCAGGCTAAAGTGCCCGCAGCTCTCAGTAAAGTTAAATAACTGCGTCATTCTTATTGTAAAGTGAAGGACAACATCATCACAGCTTTCTACGTAGCAAAGTTAGACGTGCCATTCACAGACCGATCTCCTAAACAAAGTTTTGCGAAAGCAGTGGTTACGTGTGATACAGTGTATTTGTGATTGTTTGATATTTCAACTTTATTTTTTACAATGTGGGTAAGTTGGCAAATAATATTAATCTGATTAACCATTTGAAGCCTAAGCTCATGTAAATACTAATTAGGAATTCAGTTCGTACCGCAAAAAAAAAACATTTCACCATTAAAAGATTAAATAATTAATCGTATTTAAGGAAATAATCGCTGTTTATAATCAGAATCATACGAAACACACAAATACAAAAACAAAGAGTTAATGTTTGTTGAAGCAGGTGGGACATTCGGCCCTTAAGCGTGGATATTCCATCAATTGCATTACTCAGTCAATATCTGAAAACACTCTGCCAATTGCAATTAATTTATGAAGTTTATGCAGGCTTCCTGTCATAACAAAAATGAATAATTATTTAACACATACGCACGCAAACACAAAAACAAAAATTACAAAACAAACATTGTACCGTAAGAATTTTGTTTTGTGTGGATATAAAACTTGACCTCTTAGTCTAGACGAAGAAGAAGATGATTAATAAAAGATACTGTTTAAATAAATGTTCCGAGGAACATATTTGGATTCAAGGTAAAGTAACAGAAAATTTATAAATCTACATAACATTTGTATGCTTTACAAAATATTATTAGGGGATATAAAATCATAAAGTTTGGGGTATTAAAACCTATAGGAGACGTGTTAAATGAACACATAATTTTAGACGAAAATCTAAAGGGAACAGCCAAAGTTGGAAGACCAAGGCGACAATAATATCAAAACAGATCTTAAAGTTGTAAGGTGGGAGGGTGTGGAATAGACTTACGGTAATAGGTAATGTCATTTTTCTGGGTTGTGACGACGTGTGGACTCGTATACAGGTAACCAAAGTTTCCGGAGGAACACACTGTCTTCATTTTCAGGACTGAAGAAGGAAACAGTATGTTTCTCCGAAACGTTGAAACTTATGTACTCAGGGTTGCACAGTCTTCACGACCCAGAAGAACCATTTTCTCAACTTCACCTCGGCGAGTTTCATGACCAGTTGAGTGACTATCAGCTTCTAAAAAACGATTATCCTAAAGTACTCGCTTCACCATTCAAAAAACGAAATACTTTCGTAGCTAATTTGTTTTCAGACAATTGTAAAGTGTTTTCTACCGAAGCCGGAGACAAAATTACAGAGTAATTTAATCTGCTCGAAGAACACTCACAAGAAATAGCTTGTCAACAACAGTAATACACGCTGGCCTTGTAATCCTGGGGTCCCGGGTTCGATTCCCGGCGGTGCCCGAATTTATAACTTGTGTTGGGCAAGGCTGTGGTCTAGGCAACACGGAGTTTTCCTCCGGGGCTTCCCCGATTTCTCCGTGGCGTCCCAACAATTACTCCATACACACAGAAGAAGGCAATGGCGAACCACTTCTGAATCACCTGCCTAAAAAACATATATGAAAAGGTCCTAGTCTGAGAAAAGGATGGAAGGATCCTGTTCATAATATGTCGCCAACCTCCTGTAAAGGAGACGGTGTAATAAAGAAGACATTCAGACTGCAAATGAAACGCCATGCGTTGATTATCAAACAATTATTATCTCGATGATAATAAGAAGAGTTATCTGCATTCTGAATATAAGATAAGAATTTCAATGATTCGGACTTAGTGTGTACAAAACATGAATAATATCAGTAGGGAATGAGTAGATCAACCAAATAACACCGATGAGCAATTTCTCTCTTTAACCAGTAAGAGGCGACGACGCTAACCAGATACACGACCTGAACTGAAATGTTTCGTCGATTTACCTGTGTCAGCGGTCTGCTAGGATCTGCAGGCCACCAGCGTCTCCTCCGAAATGTTGGTGCTCTAGTGGTCAAAACACGGAACATAACTGAAATGATCACCGAGGAATTTCAAAGAGAATGGGACACAGCCAAGCCCTACGAAGACATGCCAGGACCGAAACCACTTCCCGTCATCGGCAACTTCTGGAGGTTCCTTCCGTACATAGGTAAGTTGCAACGTGGAATACTGCACTGTCGTAACAGCATATTAATTGAATACCTTAACAGAATCAGAGATCTTGCTGAGAAACTCATCGTTGTTCGGCTAACCGGGGAATTATTCCAGGCTTTTTACGGAAATAAAAAGTTCGATTACCACGTTCACAAGAGACCCCAACGTTTCCTATAACAGAAAGCCATTCTTCATTTAAGGTCCGTTCTAATATTATCCTATCTTGGCCTACGTTTTCTGACTGGTCGCTAAATTCAGGTTTTCCGCCTTTATAACATCAATGAGCTCTAAACGTTCCGCCCATCTCGTTCTCTTTAAAACTTAAGAACATATTATTTTGTTTATTTAACGACGATTTTTAAAACTGGCTAACAAACCTCGGAAATTTTATGTAACCATAAAGCACACATACAAATAAAAATCATGTATCAGACTTTGTATATGCTGACAATTACAAACATGGCCACGAGGGTGCACGAGACAACGTTAGGCTACACAAATGGCACACATCATCGACTGAGGTGAGAAATTGATAATTACAGTAATTAGGCAAGGAATAGGAAGAAGAGTCTTTATATATTTAAAAATATTTTCCCTGGTATTCGACTGAAAACACTGAGGAAAATCACGAACACTTCGTTCCTTATTAACGCTTGACGTTTACACAAACTTTAATGCAGATATATTTATTGGCTCAAAAGTTGTTATGACGGGCAAAGAGAGAGATATGACGATAAGAAAAACGTGTGTGTTATAAAATAGTTGCACTAGGCTATAAAGTACATAGACAACTCCTTATCTTGAAGTTGTTATAAATACGATGACCCTGATCTCGAAACTGTGTTTTAACGTCAATCAACACAAAATAATAAGTTCTAAGAAAAGTAAAAGCTTTTGCATACAATTTAATAAATTATTCAATGCTGTGTCTTTCAAGTAGTACTTGGCATCGAAATGGTGGCAGTTAAAGCAATTAATTGTTTCAAGGCAAAGATAAAACCTGCGGTGATATACAGTAAGAAAAGTAAATACTACCGCAGTCGAAGTTTATAAGTCTCAAAACGTCATAATTTTGAACTAGTGCTTTTCGTTATATGGGTAAACGAAAATAAAAAATTTATGTCTTAAGCTCGCGATAACAAAATATATTTATTCATATTGCGCTGTTTTATTTATTAAAACAACATATAGCAATAAATTAATATTACAGATCATTTAAAAGTATAATCAACTTAAAGCTGAGTTCATTTAACGACAGTTAAAACTGCAATTTAGCTCTGAAATATTTTTAATTTTCTTCAATACACGCCATGATCACCTCCAGAATACTCCGGTGATTTGGTCATAATATTTTCTTACATTAAGAACATGTTGGATATATTGAAATGGCTTCATTTCTATCATTAAAGTATATGCAACAAAGCATGTTTTCTAACTTGAAATAATAAACTACCAGATTAAAAACCACTTTAAATTCAGAATAGTTCAGCCTATAATTTGCGAACGTCTAAATAGCGTGAGATTTGAGGTATTAGTCTTTTGGTTTGTAACGCTCGAATCCTCGAAAGGACTTAATGCAACCTTCTTAAGCCGTGAAGATGGAGGCAGTACTTTCCACCGAACCATTAGTATCTTATCTTCTTACAAGTCCACATAAAATTACAAACCAAAAGACTAAAAATGTGTCATTTAATTTGCTAGAAATCAGCAAGAATATATCTAAAGATGACGCATGCAGCAGTGTTCAAGAATGTTTGCACATTCATAAAGAAAACCTGTGGTTTCTCTTTAAATACAGGCGACATTCCAGCTGAAATAACAACTCAACAGGATTATTTACACAGAAAGTACGGCGACATTGTAAAGATGGCAGGACTGCCCGGCAGGAGTGATATGGTGATGATTTATGATCCAGATGAAATAGAAAAGGTAATCATTGTGTTTGCATCCCTCATTATTGAAGTCTGAGTGATTACAAACACCCTAAAGCTAGCCCACATACGATCGTAGTCTTTCAAAAGTTAAGAAACTCTTTGCAGCTTGATTGCTTGGTGACTGTTGAATGTTAAGGGATTTTGGACTCTTATTACAAACCGCTGCCATAATAATTCTGTTAAACGAGGCCTAATATTATTTCTTATGCTACTCTTTGGAAACAAAGTTCTGAAACAAAATACTTTTCACTCATCCACGGCCTAATAAGTTTAGGTTCTGAAACACGCAGCAAAACACATTATTACTTGTTAACCCTTCGCGGCTTTCGTAAATAAGCGGAATAATAAAACACTATCGAATTTAGAAGTTTTTTAAATAAGTAAAAAGTAAAATAAAACTGGAGCTGTTCAGCTACACGCAGTGTAGGCGCTTGGGGGGAGAAATGGTATCGCTCCTACTCATTCTTAACCTCGGCACTAGATGGGAGTGAGTGGTCGGCGTCACGCCCCGGCCGAGCTTTACCCCCGGAAAAGGACCCTGGTACCCACCGGACAGGAGGCTGGGTGGGCCCCAGAACCGGTCTGGACGCGGAGACTAGAGAAAAAGTCATTTACTATATTGACTGAGCTACCACGGTTAATTTTTAACTTTCTTAATAACATTCTTAATGGGCAATTTATTAGTACTTTAGAACACGTTTTCACAACCAAGTCACCTGGTCGTGACACTAGCTCTTCATCTCCGTATAATGCCGAGGTTAAGAAATCGTGGAGCTATGCCTCCACCCCTAAATATTTATAGTGTGGCTGCTAAATTAATAACACGAAGGTGTCTCTGCACTGCTCTGAACCAAATATTGTCTGAAAACTTTGTTGCAGGTGTACAGAAACGAAGGCTTGTGGCCTTTCAGAGACGCCTTGAGGCTGCTATGGTACTACCGTAATGTTGTAAGAAAAGACGTCTTCAAAGGCGTTGGAGGTCTGCTAATATGGTAAGTAAAACAAGCTGGCTGTATTACTAATTTAATTACGCTGTTCTAACTGCAGGGATCATGCAGGATTGAATGGAAATTAAAGAGGATAAAAACGTAAAGTAAACAGGGATTTGGAAAGGAAACGATACTGAGTAAGCTGGCTCAAAATCGTATGGGGTACATCATAACCAAAAATTAGTGACACACCAATGAGGGTGGGAAATTTGAAACATTGCGTAAAATATTTACATTACCTATAAGGCAGTATCAATTATTCTCATTCATGTTATATTACAATTACAAGACAGCGAGAGACAAAAGCGCGACCTCCTAGGCGGCGAAACAGTACACTCCCACAGATACCAACGTTTAGGAGTAAAATATCGCCTACATTTTCAGGGTAAAAAGTTGGTAAGTACCTACAAGACTAACAAACTCCATAAAGCTGTCTTTGTGAAGCTAACAAGTACGCTGAACTAGTTAAATTCCCTGCCTCTTATAGAACACAATTGTTCATTACCGTCTTCAAAACAGCCTGTCATCAGTCAAAAAGATTAATTTTAACACTCGCCCCATCTAGTGCCAAGGCTATGAATAAGTAGGAGCTATACTACCTCTCCCTCAAAGTGCCTACATGGCGTACAGCGGAACAGCTGTACTTTTTCCCTCCAATTAACGCATAAGTCCTCTGAGTGAACTCTTATTTTCATGCTTTCCACTCAAAATTTTGTAGGCATTTACATGCCTCACCGATGTACACCTACTTCAGGATACAAAACCACGTTACTGAAAAGGGTTGTTGGATCTACGTTAATTAATAAATGGAGGAATGTACTATAATCTTATCTTTATGTTTATATTTCAGTAACGGAGAAGAATGGCATACGCTCAGATCAAAAGTAAACCCAACAATGATGCAACCAAAAACGACCAAGCTATATGTTTCTCCAGTCGATGCAGTGGCCACAGACTTTATCAAGAGGTAATTTATAGTTTTTACTATTATTAAAACTGTTAACTGAAATATTTTAAGATTTCATTATTCTTTTTTAATGAGTATATTGTGTAATCCTGGATAGTTAATTGCATTTTGACAACCTGTAACAAACAATAACAAGAATGAGTTTTTAACAGGTAAGAATAGTTGCCAACAGAGTTACACAATTTTAACAGTTGGCAACTAATCTCTGACAAGATCTGTATTTTCACACACGTACACACATACAGACAGACACACAAATATATATAATGTTGCTAAGCGCTACACATTTTTGATCTCATTTCCTTCCTACTCCATCCTTATTTTTATTCATTTTTTCACTACATTCTTCCGAAATTCATTCATTCCGTTAATTCATTTTTAATCCCTACTCACAGCTGTCTTTTTCCTCTCTTTCATTCTTATTTTTTCACTTGTTTAAATTTTCCTTAAATTTACTCTGTATTAAAATATCCCGTACTGCAGTGTAGGAGCAACGTCAGATAAATTTAAATTTCTGCGTGTTTAATATTATAGGATCAGGATCTTGAGAGATGACAAACAAGAAATGCCCGAGTATTTCAGAAACGAACTATTCAAATGGACACTTGAAAGTAAGTAGCGTGCACCATTATTTTAAAACACTATAAAACAGCTGGTATTTTGTAGCATTAGTATCATATACTTGTGTTGAGGGATAAGATATTCCAGTTGCCTGTATCGGCCTCAAATTCCGCGTTTTAAGTGTATTCGTCGTCCTCCTGCGTTTCGTATCGTGAAATACTCAGTCTCATGCCTTCCATTTTGCATCAAAGCATCTGCATAAATCTAAATTATAAGGTTTGGGGTAAATCAACTGTGGTCTATTTTGAAAAGGTAACTTGCAGTTTTGGTAGAACTGGGAAATAGAAAACATGTTGGGGACAAACTTCAAAATTCGGGTTCCGTACGAGTAAGGTAGATGTTGAAATATTTTAATATTCTGAGCGTTTCAACAAAGGCGCTGTGTTGGGACGTTATGTAATGAATTAATTTAAACTGCCCTGCAGCCAGTGTGTACATTGTCCTCGACAAGCGTCTTGGATGTCTGCGCGAGGACCTGGAGCCAGATTCAAAGCCGCAGAAGATGATTAACGATGTACAAGTAATATTTGATAGTTTGTACAAAACTGAAATTCTGCCATCCTTTTGGAAGTACATTAACATCCCTACTGTGAAGGAATTCATCAGGGCTTCGGACACATTCACAGAGTAAGTCGAAATGAGATATTTGGGAACGATATTATAGGCGAAGCTGTCCCGCTACACGCAAAGATGACGCTTGGGGGAGGTGGTCAATGAGGTACAGCTCGTACCCCCTTGGAAAGGACTCCCGATATCCATTGGCCCGTTAGACAGGAGGCTGGGTGGACCCCAGAGCCGGTCTGGATACAGATTAAATTCTGAGAATGTCTTACTATTAGGGTCTGAATATTTTTATGGCACCCATCTAGAAACCAAAAGATTAAAATATATGCAAATAGGCTATAATTTTAAGCGTTTTATATTTGAGCTAAGTTTGGTTTCTGACACTAATGGAATAAAAAACATTGAGGGTGTTTCAGGTCAGGGTGACGAAAGTATTTGAACTTAGGGACGAGTAAATGGCAAGACAATGAAGAAAAATGCACCCGTCTCTATGCATTATTAGGACGATCGTATCAAGAATAAAGAGGTGGGATTTGACATGTAGCATGCATATGGAAATGGAAAATAAGCATAAAATTTTATTAGGGAAAACTGAGGAGAAAATATCACCTCTTGAGTTATAAGATAAATAATTTGCGGTTACAACGGGGGTTAAAGCGAGCACTGGATCAAACTGGGTACAATTAGCGCCGTTGAGAACTCAGTGATATTCATTAGGGTTCTGCACTGAAACTGATTAATTAGGTAAGATTTCAGGTTTCCATGGCAACGAGTATGGAGATGACTGTCTTCTGCGATGTTGCGCCGCGTAATCTGGTGGAAGTTTACCGACGTTTCAGCGGTGCTTACTACCTCCACTATTAGGGCGATTATCGTCATCTTCAAGTATTAAGTTTCCTGACTTAGTCACTGGCACCGCTCCTATTTCTTACACAGAATGGCTACGAAGTACATCAACGAAGCTACCGAAAGGCTGAAGACAATGCCGAAGGACAGCGGTCGCGAATTGACGGTTCTGGAGAAACTGCTGGCCCGGGATCCGAACCCTAAAACGGCTATGGTCATGGCACTGGATACGATATTTGCTGGTATCGATACGGTAAGATCGAATGCCGGATTCTAGTAGTAGCCCGGAGACCTGAGGGTTTTAGTTATATTCAGACTTTTCAGTGAAGAGCTGGGATAGTAACTTAAAACAGGCAATGGTAGTTTATCTAGCTCCTTTCCAATTCCTTAATTACACAGTTCTTCGATGCTACACAGTCTAAGCCACTGACACCTTCATTAAATAATAATAACGCGATAAGCCGTGTTGCAAACGGGTCTTGTCCTCTGTCTCTTACGTAACGTCATCTCTTAAACTATAGTACGTTTCACTTCAGATTCTTATTGCGAGGTTGGTAACGAGTGTCGAAATTAATTTTGTGAGATTTTTATGGTGATTAATATGAACACGGCTGTCTTTTGGGATGTAGCAATGTGTAGATATTAACTAATGTTGCATAGAATTTTACTGTCCCCCGTAACCAGGGTTATTTATCTTCTGAAAGGTCGGTCAATATCTACCGAATTAAACAGTGCTACATCCCAGAATACATCCATCACCGTAAATTTAATTATACATGCACCAATGACATACAAATTTTACACGAGGGCCGAACTTCATCGCATAAAAATTGGCAAAACTGTAGAATAATTCCGGGAGGAGCTAAGCCTGACACGAAATAATTCAGTGTATGTTGTGAGGATGGAAGCGTTATTATTATTTCTGCTATGGGGTGAGGCTATCCCGCTATGGATTTGGGGCCGCTAACGGTCTCACCCCCCAGACGGCGCACGAGTGAATATGGGGTAGTAGTGGGATGATAATAACAGCCGAAGACAGAGGGACTTGAAGAAACATCTGTTCCAGCGCCATTTTGTCCATAGATCTTAAAAGAAATGAACTGGGAGCGAACTTGGACCTGTGCTGTCAGTAGCTGGCAATTATCAGCCAAGCCATGGCACAGCCGAGGATTGAAGTAGGCAAAGAAAGTGAACAATGACGCGTTTTGGTATTCGCGATGTTGAAGTTTTACTACGTCACTCAGCCAGCAGAACAATTATCGTTATGCTTTGCCAATAACCAGCCTGCAAATAACATTTTTTCCAGTTGATGCTTCCCTGCTGATGAAGAGCCGACCTAGCTTTGTGGTAAAGCCAATACAATTAATTCCATCAACTGTACAGCAATAATCGTTTCACAAAGGTATACAAATTACAGAATACTGTAGTTAAACTAAATATTGGAAAATGTGGGTAATAATATCGGAAAATCTAAAACAAATTTACCGTACCTGTTCTCAGTTCTATAACAAACAATGTTATATTCAGTAGCATGAATCCATTACAACAGACAATGTAGCATCAATGACGTCCGTATGAACATTGTAAAACTGACACGAACTGTTTAATTACGAACTGCTTGCTTCGGCAATCAAATCTCTGATACACTGCCATGATTACAGCTACAATTCAAACCAGAGTAATACAGCCTACGAACTCTGATGCTTTGATGACAATGACAATTACATGATGATGTTATTTTTCTGGGTTTAGGTGGCGTGTAGACTCGTCGGTAATGGCACCGTTTCGGAGAATGACACCGTCTCCATCATCAGGGTTGAAGTGGCGATGCTCGGAAGTGGAAGAATTTATATATGGGTTGGAAGAGGGGAAAGCTAGGTGTGTGGGCCAATCAGAAACGGGGAGTGAGGGGGAAATGGTCGATAGGAAGCGTTCAATCAGGCGACGGAAGGAAAGAGGCCAACAATAATATGCACTACACAAAATTTACAAGACGTGTAATATAAAATAACTCACTTAACACCAGTAACAAGAAACAAATCTTTTATTTAATGGATCCCGGCACTGTCAGATTTGTTACTGTTTTCCTCAGTCTCTCCACCCAAACGCTCAAATAATAAGTCTAGTTCAAAATAAGTAATGGTCGCTTTTTTCCCAAGTTCTATCACATTAATCTTGATAATAGGATTTTATCCTAAGTTAAATACATAATTTGACTAATATCGTCAAATAAAATAAGCTAATAAGGCTGGATTTATTAATATTGTATCAGAGCAAACATTTTATGTAACTCTTAACAGATGGGTTAAATATCTTCGCAAAAGGAGGAGCCTAGGGGCACCGAGGATTGGCGTGTCATAGCATTACATTTCATCACGGACGATCCGTGAAGAAGACATTTAATTTTCACCCAAAATTATAAATAAGATATATTATATGTGTAACTGGCAGTGCCACAGTTTATGCGGCTGGACGCTACTACTAACACCGGCAGTTGAGGTGTCATTCTAGTGCGATTCGCGGTCTAAGAAATGGTATTGGAGGTTACTCTCCGAATTCTTCAGTTCGCCCCTGCTAATCATCATCCCACCGCTGAACCATTTCCATTTACACCACCCCACGAGGCATACGACAACCCTTACCAAGTATTACCATAATTGGTAATTTAGTCAGTCTTGGGTATCAAAGTATTCCTAGTTTGTAAGATTTGAGGTTTTCATAGCGGTGAGTATGAAGATTTCTGTCTTCTGGGTTGTTGCGCTTTGTAGTTTGGTCGATGTTTACCAACGTTTCAGAGGTCATACTGCCTCCGTCATCAGAGTAAGTTTCATAATAACTAAAGATTATTTTAACGATACCAATTTCTATCTTCTAGACCGCCTATGCCGCAGCTGGTGTTCTCTATCACTTGGCGAAGAACCCTGATAAGCAGCAGAAATTGTTTGAAGAAATACATCGATACCTTCCAGTCAAGGAACAACCAGTAACGTCGAGTATACTCGATGAACTCAAGTACCTGAAGGCCTGTATTAAGGAATCAATGAGGTAAGATACAGAAGTTACTCTATCTTATATAATGTAATTCTAATTAACCTTTTAACGCCCGAAGTTCCTGTATATAATATTTAACAATTCAGTCCGTACCGAAAAGAAAACACAAGACTTCATCATTAAAAAGACCAAGTGGTTAGTGATATTTACGCACTCTTTATTCTGAGAATCATGTGAAAGCAATACATAGCTGTGTTAGCAAAGTAATTTAATATTACAACCACTAAGTTCTAAAAGATTAAAATAAAGCGACTGACCAGGAGTGGAAGCCGGGAGAGATTGTTTCTACCCTACATTATTTTCATCGCATGTTGTTTTAAAATATTTGTAATTTTAGAAGTTGAGTGACAATTTTCTGGGTTGTTGCGCAGTACAGCTTACTGCCTCCATTATCAGGTTCGTGAACCCTAAGGATGGAGGCAGCAGGAACCTCTGAAACCTCGGTAGACTCGTACCAGACTATATGGCGCAATACACCATATGACGGTCGGTCATATTCAAACTAGACATCGCAAGAAAGCCAAAGCTCACATTTCAGTATGTTTTCTTAATTTTCAGACTGCGTCCCGTTTTATTTGGAAATCTGAGAACAATCAGCAAAGATATGGTTCTATCGAATTACAGAATCCCGAAAAAAGTAAGTAATAATTATGACAACATACAATTATTGCTAATTAACCCTTTGAAGTCGAAGAAGAGAGAGAGAGAGATAGGAAAGACAACAAGAGAGTAGAACAAACAGAAAAATGGTGGGTGAAAAGTGAGAGATAATTTCTGGGGGGGGGGAGACAGCTAATAGTTTGAAGGTTCCCTGGCAATGCCCACTCGTCTGTTCGCTAAAGGCATAATGTAATATCATGTCCTTTTATTTCAACCCCCTCAGGTCATGATATTTTTACGAAAGTAACTCTGATATTATTAATTTCCTTCACTTTTAATTCTGACAGACGAATGTCGCCATTCCAAATTGTCATCTGTGCAGACAGGAGAAATACTTTGCGCAGCCTGACAAGTACATCCCTGAACGCTGGCTCAAGGTCACCGACAGAGATATGCAAAAGACCAAGACGACGCATCCGTTTGTCTTCATGCCGTTCGGGTTTGGACCAAGAACGTGTGTTGGCCGTCGTCTAGCTGAACTGGAGTTGGAGACTTTGCTAACCAAGGTGAGAAGCACACGTCCCAAAGTCATAGGGACGCTTATTCGAAACCAGACTACAGTTGTAAACGCGTTTCCTCGTTCTCCAATGCTGCAGAGGATGAAACGGGCGAGCCATGCGGACTGTCAGACATGAAGAGAACAAACCAGTTCTTAAACAGCCGTAGATTGGAAGATAATATTACTAATTCTCGTCAATGAAGTATTTAAATAACCCGAATTCTATTTAGAATACGGGTTCTACCAAGGTTTTGGAGAAAAATACTATCTTCATCCCTGAGATAGAGACAAAATGTGGTTGGTATCTACCCACAAGTCCACCCAGAAGATGAACATCGACATCTTTGCCGCCGTGATAAACTAACATTTCTGAAGACAGCTGTCCTCTTGGTTGTAGGTCCGTGCAGTCTGATATAAGTTTAAAAACGTTTAAGAGGTTATTTCTTCTGCCACAATCAGGAAGATAAAACGTCGGTAAACTTCTACCACACTATACGGAGCTACAATCAAGACGACAGCCATCTTCCTCCTCATCGCCGTAAGAACCTCAAACCCAACTTCACATTTCTGGTCAGGAGCTGAAATATATATTATCCCATTAAAATTAACTAAAACAGTTGGGGCATACATTATACTGTATTACGTAAGAATCATAATACTTGAAATAAACTTATAGAAACATTACACAAACAGAACCGTACGATTAAATTCTTCATTTCATTTGTTTCAGCTAATTCGTGAATTTCAAGTTGAGTACAACTACGGCGAGATTAATTACACGTGTAAATTGCTGTACACTCCAGATTCGCCACTGAAGTTCAGATTTGTGGACAGGGATTAAAGATCGTATCGCACTAGCACCATCTTGTTTGAGCATAATTTCCTACGCAACCGGAGAAAACTTCACAAGTTTCCAGATTCAAAGTGAGAGAGAGGAGGGCAGCGGAACAGCGACAGAAGAAAGTCAGCCCTTAAAATGCAAGAACATTCTTAGCTCTAATGAAGGAATGAAACAAATCAAGTATCACAACACTTAATAGAATAAAGCTTCTGAAACAAAAGAAAAATCTGTAGATAATTACTGTGCTGGTAATCACAAACAAGACAGTCTTGACATTAATAACTTACAGACACTTCCTACTGTTAAGAACAGTAGCGTTCCTGGAGAGATTTTATAGTGTGAGTCGCTATTTATCATAAGCGCAATGTTATATTTGCTGGTTACCTTCTGTAACGACCCAAAAATGGACAAAAAGTAATTATAAACGTGAAATTTCCCTCTTTATCAGCCATGATTAACATTAACAGGGTATAAACCACAAAACTGTCACAAGATGCACACCAAAGCAGAGTACAAGGAAATATTGAATGAATAGGCAAAATTACCTTGCTTTGTGTTTTCGTCAGCTCGTGTACGATTCTGTTCGGAAGATTTCGCATAACGATCCAAGCGGAAGGTACGCGGTTCGTTATAAATGTTCGCGTGAGGGAAATTTGTTAAAGCGAAGGCTCACTGTGTACTAATTCCAATAATAAAGAAAATACCTGCTGTAACCGTAAAATTTATTTGTACACAAAGCACCTATAGCGGTCACGAACAATGGTTCTGTGACTGTAGTCATAAACAAATACATTTCTGTTACCACATTCACGAATACATTTATTTTCATGCTTTCGTGATTGCATTTACGAACACAACAGTTGTGATCCGATTCACTAATTAAAGATCTGATCTCATTTAAGTCACTAGTAAAACGTGCTACTTAATGGTATTCAAGAATGATACTAACAATACACTTTGGTGTTCGAGAAATATTTTTCTGTGTGTCTTCAGTTTAAAATACAATGCTGATGTGACTACTATAAAATAAAATACACAAACTGCTATATTAATGGATATGTATAAAACAAGTATGTAGTGAATTTATACATAATGTCCAGAGAATAATAAATCCAGTGATTATTATTGCGCTATGAAAAACCTTCACATTTTATGACAGATAATTTAAACAACAAAACAATTCAATCTTTCGGGAATACATTTTTCCTTTTTAAAATTTATGTGTAAAATATTTATTTTCTATATTTTTTCCAACGCGTATATACACATTATATGATAAACTATGACTTTATTAATTCGATTAGTAGTTAAAGAAATACAAAATTTAGGATTTCGCCAGACTCTGTGGGGCTTTAAAGAGTTATGTCTTGTAACTTCGCTCATGACAGCTAATAGTTGCATTTCATAATAAGTATTTGAGAAAAAAATACCATAACCCACCGAGGGTAAGAATTTGAAGACAAAAAATGAAGTAGTCATCAGCTGCTGCAGACAGATAAAATTATAATTAAATACAATGATCAGTTTACTCTGCGAGAAGTCTGAAACGATGAACATGGATTGAAATGTCTTCCAAGGATGCAAAAAAATGCGAGAACCTAATAATTTTGTGTCAGCAATAAGAAACGAAATTTATAAAAAATATTTAACAACTTTATTAATACAATGTTTAACTTAGATATAATATGTTGAAATTATGAGATATCAAGGTGCTAAATTATAAACTATTTCATTCTTACATCATGTTAGAACGTTAAAGGCAATTACATATTTATATTTAACGCATTTTATAAACTTCAGAATGGAATACAATTATGTGGGGTACCAGAATGGGCCTAGCAAAGTGGACTTAAGTCCCTTCTTCGGCCACAATAAAGACAGAATTGGAATTTTGAGTTCCATAGAAGGGCAAGTATTTCATCTGACATGTTTACCAAATTTCAGCTTCTCATAAAGAACTCCATCGAGAAGTTTATGCCAGCTACAATGCGCACAATGTAAAAACACGTGGGAAGCAAGTACGGATGTACCGACACTACTTTCTTTTCAGTCACCATTACTAAGCATTTTAATATTCTTATTTATTGATAAACAGTGAAAAAATACATATCATGCTCCACTGGCATTCTGCGATAAAACTAATTTGACAAACAAGATTACTCGTATCTTCTTCTCATGCTGACAGGCCGTTCCGTGTTAATTCAGACAAGATAGTTCGTCCTCTCCGACGTGTTACTTGTACGCGCAGCAAGAGAGTTGTCAGTGTTGGCGAGATGCTCCGACAAGGCAGATCAGCTGTCTGGTTGTCGCTGGTCTGTGAAGGCCAGCTGCCAGTGTTGCGCAGTGTCACAGCACTCGTGTTCAACAGGGGTAACCGTACAGTAGCAGTCACTCAAGCAATTCCTGAAGAGTGGGATTACGCCAAGCCGTTTGAAGACATTCCAGGGCCGAAGCCATTGCCTGTCATAGGAAATGCCTGGAGATTTATCCCATATATTGGTAACGTAATTTATCTTTCTGACTGTCACATTACATTAAAAAGAAAGTCGTGTCCGTGTGTTTAATTTATGATATTAAAGAACAGAAACTGATAAAACTTGGTACTGGGAGTCTAAACTAAAAGTTGTTTGGTGAACTTAAATTTGGTTCATATCGGTTCAAAAGAATACCGAAAAATAAGACGGCTGTCTACTGAGTTGTTACGTCGAGTAGTCTGGTACATGTTTACCGATGTTTCAGAGGTGTTTGCTGAATACATTGACAGGGAAACGAGATGACATGAAAGTCTGAAACATCGGCAAAATTCTACCAGACTACACGTAATAACAAACCAGAAACGGCCATCTCCATACCTGTTGCCACGAGAATCTGAAATATTACAAGATTAGAAACGCGTTGTCTACTCTTTGGAGTACTCTGACATTTCAAGGTGTTCTTTAGCCGAAATCATAGGTGATGACGTAAGCAGGGCAATCCAAGAACTCTGTCCGTGAAGTTCCTATATAACCGCAACGGATATGCACGGGTGACGTACGTACAGATGTATCAATGTTAATTTACTTACAGTAATCATTACTCAGCATTTTAAGACGTTTGTTTGTTCATGATGGTATCAAGGTACGAAAGTGTCCATGGTCACTGTTTAACAATACGATTAAAAATACTACAAGCAGATGTAATCTGCCCATACCTTTTTTAAAGCTTTCACTGAGCTTAAACACACATAATAACCATCGGTTTACAGAATGTTAACACAGATTTTCTAAAATAAATAAATAAATTGAAATGAAACAGAAGTTATAAAGAAAACAATTGTGCACAACATAAAATAAAGTAATTAAATTCAAACACTACTGTTTCAAACATTTCTCCTCATTATTAATACTAGGAGCTAAAACGTACAATGAAATATATCTCATGATTTTCTGAACCAGACATAGCATATCTGTAGCGTTGTTAGATTTGCAATAAATGAACTTCACGGACAATGAGAATTGCAGTTCGCAAGCAACTTCATGGAAACTGAGCAGTTAACAGTACAGACAAAAACACATCATTTGAACGGGACCTTCAAGGTAATATTCTTAATTTATTTGTAATTTATTTAACTACGCTTGTCAACAGCATTTCAGATTATATAGCGTCGTATGACAGAATGATTTATAAATAATGAATTTAAGAGGATGTGGAAGGAAGCGGTCGTGGCCTAATTTGAGGTACTATCCCAGAATATGCTTGTAGGAAATAAGGTTAAACTACGTACATTACCAGTGAGTCATAATTATGTGCCTAAAAACTGATTGTATAAAAATGTGAATCATTCATAGAGACAGTCAGTTGAAAACAATTATCAAATATAATTCGGCCTTCAGTATGACAGTTCACACTGTGGACTCCAGTGTACCTTAAGT